GCGAGGGTTAAAAGTACCGCGCAAAGTGACGGTGGATCCATCAACCCTGACCGAGGAAGGGCCTGCTATATAATTTGAAAGTCACCGAACCAATTGACCTGGGGATTGGGGAATGGACGAGGATATCCATTGTTTCGGTGACTAGCAGTCCTTCCTCGGTCAGGCTTGATGGATCCACTGTTACTTTGCGCGGTACTTTTAAGACATACTGTGCAATGACGTAAGCTTTAACCCTATTCCTGGCGGGGGGGGGCCTCAGGAGCCCCCCCTGAGGTTTTTTGGTTATTTCTCCCAAACGCGTTGAGCTAGGAAGCTCAAATTTTCTGACTTTTCCTAAAAGGCTTCTACGCAACATGTCTGAAAATTTTGAGTTGATCTGACCTCAGGTCAGGTCACCAGAGGCGGTTTGGTGACCCTACCTCAGAAAAGTTTGCAATCACGCCAGAGCTAGAGTTTTTGACCGATCAATTTCTTCTCTTCAGGGTTTAGTAAGGGTACCAGTATGTGCAATTTGTATATCTCGGAATTTTGATATCGGTGACCTAAGGTCAGGTCAATTTCGCGACCTCCCCATTATAAGTCAATGGGGGAAAAATCAACTCCCTGTTTTTACCACTAAAACGGGTCGGAATGGCCCCATATACCATACATGACTTCATATACGATCAACCTTCACTACCTTGAGGTCTGTTTTGCTGTTGGGCAGCTGTGAGGTCATGTGACGTCATCAAAGGTCACCAAAGGTTTTTGGCCAATAACTCCGTACAGGAACAAGATACAGACGCGTGGATGGTCTCATTGTGTTCAGCTCGTCAAGACGCATCGAATGATATACATGATGACCTCGAGGTCACGTGACCTGAGGTCAACCTTTGACCTTGACCTTTCGAGGTCAACATATATATCATTCGATGCGGATTGACGAGAGGATCACGATGATGCCCTTAGTTCGTTCCTATCTTGACTAATTCGAAAGTTATTCGAGAAAAACTCTCTCCATATCTAGCGCCGCCATTTTGACTTTTTCGACCTCTGTGACGTCATCTTTGACCTGACCTGAAAATGACCTTTGTAAAAATTGTAGATCTTGGCCGTGCGTATCCGATGCCGTTTACCGCTTGTCGCTATCTTGCTTCGTTCTCGAGATCTCAGGGGGGGGCCGAATCGGCCCCCCCCCCCGCCAGTTTCTTGTCCCGGCGGAGCCCGCCAGGAATAGGGTTAAAACCTACCACGTGGAGGCTTGAGATCGTAAATAAATAAATATAGATAAATACCTAATAGTATATGGTCAAATAACTAGTCTAGCGGTGACACACTTCCCCTCGCCAGTATTGGTGTTTTGACAGCCGCAAACGTATAAGGGCGGGGGAAGTCCGTTGGACCCCCCTTGCCGTCTCACCCCTGATCGAGCTAGAGCTTCGCGAAAAAACGAGCGTGTTTCCCGTGACAAGAGGAAGCCGATGATACCCAATTTTAAGGTCCTAGGTCATTGGTTGACCTTTCAAGCCAGGTCATTGGCCCAAAAGTCGGGAAAATCGAGACCAGTTGGGTCGTAAAGTGTGGCTGCTACGAGGTTATTCGGGGTTCTGATCACGAATATCATGTTAGTTTTTATCACAGATGATGTCTTCATGCTTTTAGGCCAGGTCGGGTCAGGTCAGTTCAGGTCAACCAGTAGTGGTTTTGCCGGGTATTCGTAGTAGGTGTCAACCGCCTCTGACAGCTTCGTAACATGTTACGATGGCACCAAAACTACTTCGTAAATGCTCATATGGTTGCTAAATTCGAATTAAGCTAAAAAAAAAAACTAGCCTAGAAACATGTAAAAGTTAACCGAGCTTATTTAAGGTCAGTGACCTGTCCTGAGCTTCAAGTGAACTTGACACCCACCCTAACGCATAGGAGCAATATCATATCACATGTTTGAACGCTTGAAACCACGAAAAGAGTGCAAACGCGCGGCTAAGAGGAGACGACATATACGCCGAATCGCGATTCCGGCCAAACATGGTCTCGAAAAGTAGGTCACAGGTAAAGGTCATTTGCGTCAGGGTCATGAAATTGTTAGGGTAGGTGTAAAATTGATGAACGCGATGGTAATGAAAGTTCCGTCGCGATCAGCGAGTTTTTACACGAGTTATTATCGAAAACCGAGAGGGGGCTGTTCGACCCCCCCCCCCTTATACCGGCGAGGGCTAAAGGGGAGGGGCGTTTCTCACGGTTCTTCCTACCTAAGATCATTGTTAAGATCTGAAATGAGAAATCATAAAACATGGCTCACAGCAGGGCTGAAGCGTGAAATACGCAAGCATGGCTACTCAAGCTTGATCAGCTCAACGATTAAAAAAAAAAAAAGCAGTTCAGGCTCTCCGCCGATGATGACAGCCTGGTCGGGTAGTTCGCTCCGCGACAGGGTCCGTCTGCTTTGTGCGGCGCGGCACGGCGCGGCGGGGGGAGGCGGCGATGCGTCTGAAAGGCGACGCTCGGACGTCCCGGGAATCACCTGTCACCATGCGGCGCGGCGGTCGGTCCCTCCGACCCTTCCCATTGTTACCTGACTTGCGGGTGCCGGTTCCCCCGGAAGGGTCACTTTGGTATGCGAAATCTTCACTCTTTAATCGGACAGGAGGGGAGCAGTAGACATTCGATGGAGTAGGTCAGCCGGGCGTAGGTCAGCCGGGCGTAGACATTCGATGGAGTAGGCGATTCGGGCGTAGGTTAGCCGGGCGTAGGTCAGCCGGGCGTAGACATTCGATGGAGTAGGCTATTCGGGCGTAGGTCAGCCGGGCGTAGGTCAGCCGGGCGTAGACATTCGATGGAGTAGGCGATTCGGGCGTAGGTCAGCCGGGCGTAGGTCAGCCGGGCGTAGACATTCGATGGAGTAGGCGATTCGGGCGTAGGTTAGCCGGGCGTAGGTCACCCGGGCGTAGACATTCGATGGAGTAGGCGATTCGGGCGTAGGTCAGCCGGGCGTAGGTCACCCGGGCGTAGACATTCGATGAAGTAGGCGATTCGGGCGTAGGTCAGCCGGGCGTAGGTCACCCGGGCGTAGACATTCGATGGAGTAGGCAATTCGGGCGTAGGTCAGCCGGGCGTAGGCCACCCGGGCGTAGGTCACCCGGGCCTGAGCCGTCCGGTCAGTGAGCCGCGCAGCTGTTTGTGAGCGGCGACCGTACCTGCGCACCTGCGGTCCGGTCCCGGTCTGGTCCCGTCCGGTCCGACGGGTCGGGTGGCGGACCGGTGGCTGTTTGGTCGGCTCTCGGTCAGCGCGGGAGGGGACCGTTAGATGGCGAGATCGAACTCGGCCGGTGTGTGGAGAGGACCCGGGCTGGTGCGGAACGCAATTACCGGACGGGGAGATAGAGGAGAGAGGAAGGAAGAGGGAGAGAGAGAGAGATGGAGAGAGAGAGATGGAGAGAGAGAGAGAGAGAGAGAGAGAGAGAGAGAGAGAGAGAGAGAGAGAGAGGGAGGGAGGGAGGGAGGGAGGGAGGGAGAGAGAGAGAGAGAGAGAGAGAGAGAGAGAGAGAGAGAGAGAGAGAGAGAGAGAGAGAGAGAGAGAGAGAGAGAGAGAGAGAGAGAGAGAGAGAGAGAGAGAGAGAGAGAGAGAGAGAGAGAGAGAGAGAGAGAGAGAGAGATGGGAGAGGGAGAGGGAGAGAGATAGTGGCAGGTTCGTAAGCTCAAAGACTAGAGAGAGTTTGGTATTTCCGGTCACCTCGATGCCAATTAAATTCACTGAGTGGCCAATTCCAATCCGGAAATAACAGCCCGATTAGTCTAACGTTCATCAATCATCATCCCACCCGGTCCCTCCGGGCCGTTAGGTCACCTCAATGGCGGACGGTCCATGCTCAGCCACGTCACCCGTCGGGAGGCACGGTCTCCGGCGCACGTCCGTGCATTAATTCTGCTGCTTGGTGGATCGGCGCGGCGTCTGCCGTCACCCGATGACCTCGGAAACCGTTGGCCGCGTGCTGCGGGCGGCGTGGAGCGACGTCAGCCCGACCCGCCCCTGTGCACCGGCGGTCGACCCGACATACCCCGGCGGATCAGCGGAGAGCGCGGACCTTATCGGCGGCGCCGGACCAAAGCCGGCCGCTATCTCTGCGGTCGGCGCGGAGATTCGCCCACCGTAAACGACGCACACCTGGTCCGTCCCCCTGCCGCCCCTCCCACTGGGCCTCTACCCCATCCCCATCTCCCCTTTGGGAGTTCCTGACTAGCGTCGTAGTGTCATCACTGCGCTCAGAGGGACTTGTATCGCTCAGCTGACATTCACGATTCGACCACGCTCCCCTGACGTTCGCCTGACGCTCGCTTGGCGCGATAACCGCGGTGCGTGTCAGCGGCGCAGTGCGGCCTCCTCTGAAGACTGGAGGCCGGCCCGAAGGGACCTCAGCTCCCGCCTGGGTTGACACAATGACTGTCAGGGTACAACGGCTTATTCTACTGACGTTGCCCGTTACTGAGTGTGACCCCCTCCCTACAAGAGCCGGGGAGTGGCAGGCGGGGGTCATGTCATGACCAACCGCTGGGTGTTGCTCGCTTGGCATGGGTGCAGGCATGACTGGAAGGCTACATAATGCGTTTCGCCGGGGTTTTACGTGGAATGGGTTGGCCCGACTGTGAGTCATGCTCTCTTCTTCCTTGTTCGCTTCTTTGAAGAGCCCCGGTGTAAATACGGAAGATCTGTTTGAGCTGCTATTTATGTCTAGCCGCACAAGACACAGGAAGATTTACTCCTCACTTTTCGGTCTTTCTTTCCAGGATGCCTATTTAGAGTTCGTCTGAACCGTTCAGTTTTTATGCATCACTTCTTGGATCTGGCATGCATGATGGCACGCTAAAACCGATGTGCCACGCCTGAGTGTTCAACAGAAAATGCTAGTTTTCCGTGCCTGTATTTTCATGATTTTTTCATAGCGTCTGTCCCGAGAGAGAAAAGCACCGGTATCCCTCGCCTGATGCATCCTTCTCTGACCACCCCTCGCCTTCCCCCACAGCCGGTATCGCGTGAAGAGGAGTACCCGGGCCGGCCGGAGCTGCGCGTGGTCCATTTCGCCACCACACCCATCATGTCCACCTACATCATCGCCTGCGTAGTGGGCGAGTTCGACCACATCGAGACCACCTCGGATAACGTCTGTATCCGCGTCTACACGCCGCTCGGAAAGGGAGAGATGGTGAGTAAATGGGGAGATTGAGAGAGGAAGATGCCCTGGGGACTCGGGGGAGAGCTGTGAGATGGACTCGGAGGGAGCTTTGCGGAAGAGTTGATGCTCGAAGGGAGGGGAGATAGGACTCAGAGGGAAATATGAAATTATGAGAGATGATGAAAGTGTTTGAGGGAGTTTATATCCGAGTCGGTAGTTCGATAAAAGATCACCCCCGCCAGTGCGGCCGCTCAGCTCTGTAGCCCTGTTTAACGCTATCTGACCGTCCTGTGAACCCACAGGGCCGGTTTGCGCTCGACTGCGCCGCCAAGATCCTGCCCTACTACAAGGGCTACTTCGGCTCCGCCTACCCGCTGCCCAAGCTCGACCTAATCGCCATCCCAGACTTCGCTTCAGGTAAGACAACCCAGACACCGCAACCTGCATGAAGACCAACAGTCTACAGGGGGGGGGGGGGGGCAGCCTCTGTAGGGTGACCCACATCCTTTCATACGAGCAAGTCTCGATGCTCTCAGAGGAAAGATTGAAAAGTAATGTCACAAGGATACCTGCGTGGGCTCAGTATATGAGGGGTTCGTTATGTTCAGATGGTTGGATTTGAGTTACCTCAAGGGAAGTTGATTGGGTTGTTGGGTGACGCTAATTTGGTGACACGCTTCTGACGTACTGACGTGACACGTAGACACTGACGTCCCGGTTTGGGTTCAGCAGAGTCAGGTGGGCTCCAGCCCTCCCGTCTCGGCGGGGCTGGCCATGCGCGCGCTGCGTGTCCGGTGATCTCATTGGCCGCGTATCGGGGAGGGCCGTACGGTAGGCTGTGGTCAGTGTTGGGCGCACGGAACCACCGAGGAATTCGGCTGTTATATAACGGAGCTGACGCGCTGATGACGTCATTGTGTAGCCGTTAATCGTGTGTCTTAGAGCTCGGACGCTGATAGATGTTTGGAAGAGTTTGGCTAGAAAATGACCATGGCTAGTCGGTATCAATCAATGTATATTCCTGGATGGGTTTGGTTTGTGATGTGTTGGCTCAGTGCTGTATCAGGGATTTGGAACGCTAAAACTGTTATTTGTACGGATGCCTGGAAGTATTATTTCAAGCTATTCGTAATGCTCTGACAGCAGCAGATTGGATGTAATTTGTAAGAGCGTTTGAGTTAATTTCGCTCCTGATAACGTGCACCTGTCTTGCGTTCATCCAGTCTAAGTCCATTATCCTCTGGTTTAGCAGTATATTTCAGCACCGCACGGATTAAACCCCGGGCCGAGTTTTCAGTTCCTTTTAGCCGCTAAAGCTGAATATGTTACATGTGCGCTTAACTAACATGTCATTCAAGAAACGCGTGGCTGACTTCACTCACTTACGACCCTCTTTGTGTGATGGACCTTTGTGTGATGATCTAGTATGTGTAAGTTGTAACTGCCATGGCTGTCATCATTTGGGTGCAGCCACAACGACGGCGTGTTTCGGGACTCGTCACAAAGCGCCGCGCTGCCCCGAGTGATACGCGCTGGTGACGCAACCTGCGTGGTGCCTCCGCCGGAGCGGCACCCAGACCGTAACGCGGAACCAGACGGTGCCAGTCTCCAGAACCCTCACTGGAAAGCACGCGCAGCGCCGGTGGACGATACAGAAGTCGCGTGATACGGTGCCTTCCGCGAAACGGATTTGAATACTGCTCTGGTTGAGCAGCCCGACACGGGGGAATGGCAGTTACACCCTGAGCTCATGAATAACGGACCGTTTAGTGGCTGGCTGTTCGCAGACTTCCAGACAGCTGAGGTCGTACTTCCAGGAGACAGTGAAGCAGATCTTAGATACAAAGGAAGGGGGCAGATGTTTTAGTTACCTAATTGGCTTTTCTCCTGTCGCTTCAGCTTATCTATGAGATAACAGAACGTGATATTAAGATTAGGCTGCGGGAATGATGACGGGCTCGGCAGTCGGCCCACTGCGATAAGTGACTTGTTTAGATGTAATCTGGTGTACCTGCTAACACGGCTGTGACTGTCGCGTCCCGAGAAGGAAGACGAGTCAGATCTGATGTTGAAATGAGCTGCCCCTGATCTCAGACCCTGGCAGGGAACTTTACTTTGATGACCTTCCTGACAATACCTCTGACTTGATCTGACCTCCGACAGGTGCCTTGGAGAGCTGGGGTCTGGTGACCTGACCTCTGACCTGACCTGACCTGACCTGACCTGACCTGACTCCTCCCTCCCCTGCAGGTGCCATGGAGAACTGGGGCCTGGTGACCTGACCTCTGACCTGACCTGACCTCTGACCTTACCTGACCTTACCTGACCCCTCCCTCCCCTGCAGGTGCTATGGAGAACTGGGGCCTGGTGACGTTCCGCGAGACGTGCATCCTGGTGGATCCGGTCAACACCTCGACGGCTCGCCGTCAGTTCTGCGCCCAGGTGGTGGGCCACGAGCTGGCGCACATGTGGTTCGGTAACCTGGTGACCATGGAGTGGTGGACGCACCTGTGGCTGAACGAGGGGTACGCCGAGTTCGCCATGTACCTGAGCACCGACTACCTCTTCCCGCACTACAAGATCTGGATGCAGTTTGTCTCCGAGTGCTATATGGGCGCGCTGGCGACCGACTCACTCAGGTGAGACAGAGGGAGAGTGGCATGGGGTCGGCGGGGGAGAATAAGGGAAGGTATGAGATGAACATATGCACCATCATCAGTGAGATCAGTAAGGGTCAAGGGACATAATATACAACAGACTGCAGATGGGCAATTGATGCTGCCATGAAGGTCGTGGACCGGGCGGCCTACCAGTATTTGGAGGTTCCGTCCATCCAGTGCCCTCATTCTGTCTGGTTTATCCTGCGTCACTAGGACTGTATGCTATAGCTACGGATACACTGTATTGCATAATGCATCTGTATCGCTTATTTAACTTTGTCTGATCGGTCTACCTCCCACCTCTCGGCAGGACGTCCCATCCGATCGAGGTTCCCGTCAGCAATCCATCTGAGGTGGACGAGATCTTCGACGGTATCAGCTACGACAAGGGCGCCTGCGTCATCCGCATGCTGCACGAGTTCCTTGGACATGAGGTAGGAGAGCGAGTACCGGCGGGTTGGGGAGGGGGTAGGGAGGAGGGCGTGGTCGTGAAGTGGATAGGGTGCCGGGTTGGAGGTTTCAGGTGTGTGGTAAGCCTATCGCTGCGATGCTAAGGCGCTTATTGTTGGGGTGGCATTTCCCGATAGTTCAACTCGGTGCAATGGTCGATAAGATATCAGACACTTGCCATGTGTACCACGTATCCAATCGACTTTACATACCACCTACGGCCTATCTAAGCAGTTACCAACAATTGTTACCGATCATTGGTAGCGGTGATGATGGTGCATTCCATGAACACCGAAACCTGACGATCCTTGTCAATCCTTAATGCGGCCAAGGCCAACGCTTGATCGTGTTCGCTTCTTTTGGCCTCTCTTTTCTGAAATTGTGGGTACCTGAATGGATTAAATGATTGCCATGGAGCCCAGGTGTCTGTTAGGCAAAGTTTTATCTTTAGCAAACGACGCCTTTACTTATGAGTAAAAACTAACATGCGAAGTACCTACATTTCAAGGCGATACTGTACCATGATAACCAATACCTCGTCCCTCATACCTTCCATGGCATTGCCCCGTCTGACCCCTCCCGTGCCTTCCCCAGGCGTTTAAGCGCGGTATGAACCTGTACCTGAAGCGGCACCAGTTCGGTAACACGTTCACCGAGGACCTATGGGCCGCGCTGGAGGAGTCCAGCGGCCGGCCCGTGCGGGACGTCATGTCCACGTGGACCCGACAGACCGGCTACCCGGTGGTACGCGTCTCTGAGAGGCGCGAGGGCACCACACGTATCATCACCGCCAGTCAGAGGCGCTGTCTGGCAGACGGAAAACCGGACGGTGAGGGAGAGCGGATAGTGGGAGGGTGTACTGGGAAGGAGGAGATGACGAGCTAGAAGGTGCTGACCAATAAAACAAGGCAGTGTCTGGAAGTAGTTTCAGTCAGATGTGAAGGTGCCTTCAGCCGAGCACTTGGAATAAAGCTAGCACAACACCAGATATCATGATTTTGTCGAATTATTCGTCGAAGGCTCAAGTTCAATAGTTGCATTAACCAACAGTCTTCTGATGATGACATGTAACCTGACTTTTCGCTGACCTGTGCCATGACCTGTGACCTACCCTGACCTCGCTGACCTCTGTCTCGCCCTGTGTCCCCACTAGCCGACGATCAGATGTGGATGGTACCGCTATCGTTCAGCTCCTCCCAGTCGCCCTCGGAGACAATCCACAAGGTGATTCTCTCGGAGCGGACCACCGAGGTGCGTCTGGAGAACATCGGGCCCGACGACTGGGTCAAACTGAACCCCGGAGCAGTGGGATTCTATAGGTGAGCGGTGGTAAAGGGGATGACAGCTCGGAGGTTATCCTCTGGGGTGGAAGGTTTGCTAGGGAATCAAGGGCACACCGAATGTCACTGTTAGCTGAGCTTGCTGATTCTTGATGGGGCAGTTCACATTAGAGACATGTCCGATATAAAATGAAGCTTTCTGGATATAGTTCATCATATTCAACTTTTGTTAGCATTGTGTGAAATTTCTGTACGTAACTGCATGCCATGACCGTACCAAAGCTAGTCAGCTCGTTGTTGACGGTCCCCCTCCCCGGCGCGTTTTCTCAGGGTACAGTACCCTCCGGAGATGCTGGAACAGTTCAAATCGGCCATCGCCACCAAGGTGATGCCGGCGCTAGACAGAAACAGCCTGGTCGACGACCTGTTCGCACTGGTGAGTGTCTGATATGGAGGGAGCTATATCGTTACCCGAGTGGCTGGTGGGAAGCGGGGAAGGGTTCTCAAATCTCCATACCCAATGTTAGTGCGTGAATGCCTGACCCTGAACTTACCGCATTGCCTTCGTTGTTCAGCTTACTGCAATCGAGGTCGTGTTCGGCCCCGTTTGTATCCTGCTCATTCTGTTTGTTCCATTGGATCATGTTATTGTCACGTCAAGCTTTCGTGTTTATCAGTTGTCTGGCATGCAGTAGGTATCTGGCATTAAGGTGGTCTATCTGAGGGAATCTCCTGTCTCGACAGGTTTTCGGGTTTAGAAATTGTTCCAGTTTAAAATTGTAACTTGAGAGGGATGACTCGTCATCGTTTGCCCCCCTCTCCCGCTCCGTCTATTTACGTCTCTGACCCCCCCCCCTCCCCTCCCCCCGTCCCACAGGTGCAGGCCGGCGACAGTTCGACGGTGGACTTTCTGCGGCTGGCGCGCTCGTTTGTCGACGAGGACGAGTTCACGGTGTGGTCGTGTCTGCTGAGCAGCCTGCGCCGCCTGTGGCCGCTGCTGCAGCACACGGAGATGCTGGAGCCGTTCCACGCCTACTGCCGACAGCTGCTGCGCACCATTCACAAACGGCTCGGCTGGCAGCAGCGCGAGGGAGAGGGTGAGTCGTGGCGCAGGCGGTAACAACTTGTGACGTGCTAAACACATCACGTCTGGTACATATGACACCGCTCGAGTAAGTTTCAAGTCACCCGATCAGCTTAGACGGTTATCAGACGAGCTTGTCTTGCCGGTTAAAGGTTCTTAAATTATCTAGGCTCTCTTGTATCTAGGCTTTATCTAGGCAACCCTGCTTTAGCCAATGCCGGCATAACCTGACCTCTACCCCTCCCCAGGTCACATGACGACCCTGCTGCGGCCGATGGTGACATGACCTCTGACCTGACCTCTACCTCCTCCCCAGGTCACATGACGACCCTGCTGCGGCCGATGGTAACCAGCCCTGACCTCTGACCTCTACCCCCTCCCCAGGTCACATGACGACCCTGCTGCGGCCGATGGTAACCAGCCCTGACCTCTGACCTGACCTCTGACCCCTCCCCAGGTCACATGACGACCCTGCTGCGGCCGATGGTGACCTGACCTCTGACCCCTCCCCCAGGTCACATGACGACCCTGCTGCGGCCGATGGTGACCTACCCTGACCCCTGACCCCTCCCCAGGTCACATGACGACCCTGCTGCGGCCGATGGTGACCTACCCTGACCTCTGACCTGACCTCTGTCTCGCTCCCCAGGTCACATGACGACCCTGCTACGGCCGATGGTGACCTACCCTGACCTCTACCCCCTCCCCAGGTCACATGACGACCCTGCTGCGGCCGATGGTGACCTGACCTGTCCTGACCTCTACCCCCTCCCCAGGTCACATGACGACCCTGCTGCGGCCGATGGTGATCGCCCACCTGGTATCGTTTAACGACCAGCCGACGCTGGCCGAGGCGGAGCGTCTGTTCCGCGCGCACCAGGAGGGCACAGGCACACTGCACGCCGACCTGCGCAGCGCCGCCTACCGGGCCGTGCTCAAACGAGGCGGGAAGGCCGAGTTCGATATGATGCTCAAGGTGAGGACCGTTGGCAAGAAAACTACCGTGTCAAGGAAAAACATAGTAAGCGCCAATGTAAACAAAAATGAGTTAGAGATGCTAACGGGGGTTTTCGGGAACGACGGATTCGTTTCTGGTATCGCTTTTTTTTCATAACTTTCTCCAAAACTGAGATATTAAAGGGGTAGAATATAGCAAGTCCAGTGGCGTCTTCGGTTTGACAAAGAAAAACACAGCATGTGACAAGTTGCTGCATGCTAGGTTTTACCTCGACCAAAGAGACCTGAACATCCCATTTTGCGCTGATGTGCATTGTGATAAAGTGTCGCATACTAGGTTCTCGCCCATTCGCGACTTCCGCGCTTTAGGAAGCCCACTCCCCTGGTTGGGTCTGTCTGTTACTGCTGGCTACATGAGCGAGCTTGATGGCACATCAAGGTTGATGCATGTAGCAACTTGATGTGCTCTAGAAAACCTAAACTTCGCTTCACCGCCCCGGAGTCCCTATTGCAACTTATCAGTTGGAACCCCGATTTTTGAACTGTGGAGAGCCACACTGACAAACTTTCGCGGTGTCCTTGAGCGGGCCGACATCTGCTGCGTGTGCCGAGCCGCCGAGCCCCGGTGGTACGAGTGGCAGGGGTGCCGGATCCAGTATCCCTGCACCTCTTCCTGACGTTCCCGAGGAGTTCCTGAGGGACCCAGTGTAATCTACGTCTGCCTCTGCGATACCGAATGCGTCTAAAGAGCACGATATTAGGGTGTGTGAAGTGCGTTAGTAGGCTAAACTATTTTGATTTGGGTTGTGTTGAAGATAGCGAGAGATACTGATGCATGCCGAGGCACTGTAGTCAGCCAGCATGATGATGAGATGGCGTACACTGCAGATATGCAGGTGTAACTTCTAAAAAAAAAAAGACCGTGGCCCTGTTGACGGGACCTGCGGTAGCTGCGGGCCTGCGGCTCGGCGGTCAGCCGCGGGATCTATGGCCACGGGTAAACACCGAGCTGCAGCTACGGCAGGTGCCCGTGAACAGCACTCGTGAAAATCACTTCTTTATGAGCCACCTGGTCCATAGGCGTAGGAACAGGGGGGGGGGGGGGAGCCCCACCCACTTTTCAGCCTTTTTTAAGGAAAAATCTTCATTTTTGATTTAAATACAAAACTAAGAGCAGGAAATGGTTCAGCAAGGTAAGATGAGCACAAAACTACAAAGAATTTCTTCATGGGAGCATTCTTGAAATGACCAGAAATGACAACTGTTTCAGTTTTGTTGACAACCTATTTCATAGATAAAGCACATCTGGCACAGAAAAACGTAGTAAGTAACCATGCTAGGTTTTCCCTCTTCGTCCAATGCCACAGCTAATCTAGCAAGTCCACATTTACATTATCGGTAAGCATTTGAAAAATTTGGATAGCATTTCTGAATTGCGCACATAAAATACATATAGAAACACTATTCAGGTTGATGCATGTTATGCGCATTTGCTTAGGCTAGCACACGTTAACGTTTCCTCGTTTTTCTCCGTTTCGTCACCTTGACACTTACTAGGTTCTTCAAAAATAGGGTAGAAAAGGGGAAGACGTCTGAAGACGGAAAGATCGTGGAGTTACGCACCTATTTGGTGTTACGGTTGATGATGCCTTGCCGCGTTGAGTTTTTTTTTTCATCGTATGCCCCAGCTAGATTTCAGCCTATATGTTATGTAACTGGATGCACGATTAAATTATATTCGAGTTAATATCGCCGCCTCATATTTCTATGGTACATTCATTGGGCGACAGTCCGCTGTTACCTCACGGTTACCCTAGAGCACCGCGTTTACCCTCGCTCTTATACTCCAGACGCCCGATCTCGTTCGCTAATACTACTCCTGACCCCTGACCTCCCTTCCCCAGCTGACCCTTGCCCTCTGACCCCTCAGCTATACCGGGAGGCTGAGATGCTAGAGGAAAAGAACCGGATCGCGCACGCGCTGGGCTCCATCCCGGACCCGGAGCTGCTCACCAGCGTACTCGAGTTCGCCCTCTCGGTGGGTGGCCAGGGGCGAACTATCTAAATGGGTGTTGTATTGTCATTGTTCAGCATGCGAAGTTTTTTTTTTGTGCCACTTTTATCTCACCACTCAAAGGAAAAGGCAGTTATGCGTGCCCTTTCCCAGGCAATTTCTAAGAGACATTCCTTTTTATTATGATCTGCCAGCGTTTCAGTGACAAGTGCCTAGGCTGCAGTTGTATAGAGTTTTTACTGTTTATGTTGGTACTAATTATCCACATTTGTGTCACCATAATCCACGTCAACTCTTCAAAGTATGTATTACGATTTGCGATTGTAATCACCATCACACACTACCTACTCTGCCGGCAGGACGAGGTTCGCGCCCAGGAGTCGGTGTTCGTCATGATTTCCGTGTCGGCCAACCGGCTCGGACACGAGCTCACCTGGGACTTCTACAAGCGTAACTGTCAGATCCTCTGTGACCGGTACAAGGTGCGTCCGCCCTCCCTCTCCCCTCCCTCCTTCACTCTGCCCCGCCTCTGCTCCCTGGCGCCGCTGTCTAACGGGCGCGTCCTTTTGGGGTAGACCATGGTTGTTTTCCGGGATGTCAAAGCTCAGTGGAACGGTCCCCCGTCGTGTTAGTGGCGTATATGGCAGCCGAGTGCTCCATATAGCAGCTGTGACGTCATGGGGCGGAATAGGGATGGGGAGACTGACGGCTCTGTTATCGTTCTACTGACGGCTGGGGGGGGGGGGGCTGGGAATGGTGGAGCGCTTTTAAATGTACAACACCTGGAGAGGATATTTTGAGTTGGGTCAGGGATTGTCGTCCACAAATCATTGGAATAACTTTGCAGAACGACACAATCAACTTGACATCGAAAACATTCATTCCGAGAAGCGCATTTTCTTTATGATATCGAGTTAACCGTCCTATTTTTGCGGTAAGTGAGCCTTTTCAGACCTGATTGGCCTCCCGTCGCTGACGTCTATCTCCTCCCCCCCCCCTTCCCCGCCGTCCCTGCAGGGTCGCCTGCTGGCCCAGCTGGTCAAGTCTCTGACCGAGGACTTCACCACGGAGGAGCGCGCTCTCGAGGTGGAGCAGTTCTTTGTCGAGCACCCGCACCCGGGAGCCGAGCGGAGCATCCTGCAGTCGCTGGAGACGATCCGCCTGAACGCTGCCTGGCTGCAGCGCGACCGGCAGGCGCTCTCCGAGTACCTGGCGCAGTGTCAGTAGCGGCCGCCCGCGGCGCCACCTCCGCCGTACCAGCCGAACGCTGTGTGGAATGCATTGTCCGATTAGCACCGTGCTTGCATGCGTTTGATATTGATAATGAGCGTCATGTCCCACCACGTTGTATATCAAGTCATGTGTTCGGTCCGCGCTAAGGCGCACTTGATTCCCATAGCATAATTCGATCGCGCTAGCGATGGGCTTGTTGCAGACGGTCGCGGGGCGCCCGCCGCGGCTCTGGGCGCTCCGATGTACCGGGACGGTCTGAGAACCGCCGCCGGCGTCTGCCGGAGCCGGCGGCCGGCCGTCCCGCGCCGTGCTGCGCCGTTATCAGTTCTCGACGTGGCCATGGACTTGGTTGTGATTTGTACAAAGCAAGTGCGCACAGTCCATCGCCCTTCGGTCGCAGCTCGCCCCGGCGGCGTCGCCTCTTTTCGCCATGCTTGAGTACAATTACTGTCTGAACAAACGTTTGTTGATTTTCTGTTCTCCGTTGAGTAAATGCCAGTTAATTGACACACGCCCACACCCAGTTGCCCCCATGTTGACGCTTGCCCGGTGTTCGCTAGTGTCGTGTCTGCCGAGCTGTGAGACGCCCTCATACCTCAGCTGTTGTGACCCAGCGGAGCGACGGAAGACACTCGGCGAAACTTAGCTCAGTCTGATAAATTGCCCACGGCCATTCATGTCAAATGCGTGGATTAGACACAATGGATTAAATTGGATTTGTTTGATAGTCTGTGTCGTCTATGATGCATATATGATAAATACAATAGTATGCAACATTCATGAGTATCTCCATGAATGGCTGTTGATTTGGTCCAGTGCGCTATTGAGCTTGGCACCACATAAATCAGACCTGTCGGCCGTCAATTGGTCGGTGGATGCATTCTGGCATGTAATTATAGCAACCGTGGTAAATAGCTCTTGGTAAACACTAAGAATCTTGGTAAACACCGAGATTCTTACAGATGTAAACACTACGACTACGTCATATACCCCTTACGCCCAATGACGTAAAATCGTGCCAGTGCTGCCATATTTTGTATCACGCTAGTCGCTACACCGCATTCGAAACACGCTCGCCACTTTGCCTTGAGCCTTCTTAGCTTGGCAAACTGGCAAACGAAAATAGCATATAGGTTTTTAAATGATATTATTGATATTGATTTGATATTATTACCGACAATCAATAGGTAATAAGCGGCTGGCGACATCAACATCGACGGTGAATCAGAATCGGAATAGCCGGACAGGTAGACTGCCTTACGATCAATTTGAAGCTGGACTGATAATTGTTTTTTAACCACCAACACACTTGTGAATGTTTATTTTTATTGCTTTTTCACTCACTCATGGATACAAGGATTCAATTAATTACAAATAGTAAAAGGCTTGTCATTGTGGGTAGGTAAACGTCAAGCTAAAGTCCGAATCACTTCAAGGATTTTTTTTTCATTCTTACTGTAATCTCAATCTTGCATTTTAGTGAATTTGATTGTCTTTACGCGGACGCCGGTGAAAACAGGGCGGCGGAGGGCATATAGGGCATATTAGTCACGTGACATTTGGAACTTCTCCCCCTCTGTGGGCCTTCTACAGGTTAAACGTAACGTGTGAATTTCACAAACCTTGATCAAATTGCCCCAGGCGCCCTGTTTCCACCGTCGTCCCTTTACGCCGGCTTGTTGGCAAACTTGAACTGTGATTGTACTGTTGTGCTGACAAATAGGTGTACCTTACTTTGTATTGTAATGTATGGAATGGAATGTAGGTATGTGGTAAGATATATGCGTTACTAATGCACACATGGATTTATATATTTTTTTTTATTTGATCATAGTCAGCAAGCCTGAAAGGAGGTAGGTAGGTACTAGGTACACAACTAATTTTTTTAACAAGTCCTTCTTTATGTCATAATTTGATCTGCACCCCTCCTGGCCTGAATCTTCCAGCTCCTTTTCCACAATGGATGATTCTGAACCTCCAGCGGCCCCAACAAGCACCAGTGAGCCTGAGGGTCAAAAAGCCAGTGAAATCCCCCAGAGTGAGACAACTAATGAGGCTGCTGCAGATGTCCCAAAAAGTGAGGTTTCTGGGGAGAATGCAGCTTCTGAGGACAAAGTTGGTGAGGATAAGTCAGCTGCTGAGGACATGTCAGTTGCTGAGGACAAGCCAGCTGCTGAGGAAAAGTCAACTGTTGAGGACAAGTCAGATGCTGAAGCTTCTATGCAAGCGCCTGCTAATGCAGCTGTGACAGAAGAAGCTGATGAGGATAGGGCAGCAGCTGAGGGCTCTGTGGATAAGGCACCAGCTGATGCATCTACACCTGAACCAGGGGATGAAGTACCTGCAGAACATCCCTCTCCAGATGATTCTGCCCATCAGACTGCAGCTCCTGCTTCTGAAGAAAAGTCACCTTCTGAAGGCGCTGCTGACAGCCCAGCACCTGATGGCTCCATTGAACCCCCACCCACAGAACCTGCAGATGTACAAGTTGTCTCGGCCCCAGCAGATCAACCTGAACCATCGACTGGTGCCACTGAGGAGCACCCTCCGTCCGACCCTGCCGCCCAGCCCCCACCTCAGGAGATGCTGTCCCTGCCTTCTCCTCCATCAGCGCTCTCCTCAGTGTCTTCCCTGTCTGGTGATTCTGACGAAGAAAAGGAGGAACACCCTCCAGCCGCCCCAGCAGATACCGCGCCCCTGTCTGCCGACCTGGCCGACCCACTGGTGTACGACGCCTCTCACGCCACGGTGGGCGCCGTGCTCGGTCACGCCGCTGACCTCCTGGCGGCGGGCGTGCTGCCGGACGTGCACGCCTCGCCGAGCGCGCTGGCCACGGCGGCCGACCTGCTGCGGCGCGTGCTGGTGGTGGCACGCCACCAGCTGGAGACGGCGGCCGCCTCCGTCCACCGGCTGCTGCCGCTCGGTCTGCGGCTGGCCGAGAACGTGATGACGGTGCCCCAGTGGCGCGCTGTTGAGGGTCGCTCACAGCGCTGCGCCAGCCGCGCCATCTACCAGGCGCTGATGGAGCTGCAGCTGCCCCCGCAGCAGCGCGAGGAGCGCCGGCTGCTGCGGGCTCTGCGCCGCCGTCCGGCCCGGCTCTGGGCGGACGTCTCGCTGGAGGAGGCGGCCGCTGAGCTGGCGGAGCGCCGTCACCCGGACCGCTACCCGGGCTTCGACCCCGCCCGGGACGCGGCGCGGGAGGCGGAAGCGGCCCTGCTGGCTGCCTACCGAGCTGCGGTGCGCGCGCGGCTGACGGAGCCGGTGCCGGCCGTGCCGCTGCCGCCGGCCGCCGGCCTGGACGGCCCCGCCCGACTGGCCGCCGTCCACGAGGTGGTCAAGTCGTGGCGGTACTCGATCCGCTGGCGGTACTGCGTGGACTTTCTGCGGACGGAGGAGGAGCCGCTGCTCTCCCGACACGTCTACCAGGTGAGAATGGGATCGACAGCTGAGGTCGATGGATTTTAACACTCAATTTTGTCAAGCTTTTACCGTACGCGTACGATAGGTACCCTGAAACAATGAACTTGAAGCACCTCCCTGCCACTTCCGTGTTTACGGAGCGAGCGAAGCGAGCGGAGTCTTTCCTTAGATTAACGGAAATTTCTGAGTATGAGCGGCCGGCCGGCCGGCCGTGCGGACGCTTTTGCGAGGCTTATATCTCAGCAACCACTTGACCGATTTACATGCGGTAATTTTTGTAGGGTAGCTTCATTCCTTCTACCAAGTATTGGACTATTCCCGATGCATTTGGGTGACCCCTTATGCACGTGCCACGTGCAAAACGAAGAGGTGTCAGTTTTGTAATTGTTGCAATATCTCGGTAACTACTTGGCCGATTGCGCTGAAAGTTGGCATGTAGGTAGGCACCCACTAGGCACTGCATATCCATGTGCCAGAGTTGGGGTGCTGCTGCACGTGCGCACGTGCAGGGGTCGTTTCCAGATCTCGAGAACGGCTGTACCGATGGCGCTCAAATTTGGTACACGGTTAGGGACCAGTTAGTAGGGTGCCGTGCACGAGTCAGTTGGGACCCATTTTGCACGTGCGCACGTGCAGGGTGCCGCTCCCAGATCTCGAGAACGGCTGGGCCGATTGTGCTCAAATTTGGCACATCGCTAGAAACCGGTCAGTAGGGTGCCGTGCACAAGTCAGTTGGAGGTACCCCCTCGAAATTTCGCACGTGCGTGAAGACTCACCCCCTCGCTCGCTCCGTTAGTCGCCCCAAAAGGCGCTATACTGGTACCGTAATCGGTAGATTTTCTGTACACTGCCGTCACTGTTATCAGCGGCAGCTGACCAAGTGTGCCTTTCCATCATTAGGACAATGTCTGTTTCCTCATCCCCATACCGTGTCTCGTCTGGCTGTCTTATTACATTGTCCTGGAGGATCCTGATGCATGATTATCTTTTCCCCGTCCCAGGTGCGATTCAGTGTCCCGGAGCACCACCAGCCCATTCCCAGGCCGGTCGCCTACGTCTTTTTCGTGCTGATCGTATCCAAGGTGAAGCCTGAAACGGAACCTATCCAGGTGTGTAACCGGTAACGCTTTACGTCCATTGCGTCCTTCTAATCTGATCCTTGTTTAATTGCCATGCCATGCGTTTTTTCCCATGTCATGTTTCACTTCACAGACATTTGAGGGTTATAATCTGTGTACTGTATTTCATGCTATTATTTCCCGTGTCAGGTCAGGCCTTCTGGCATCCATCTGTGACATGTCGGCTGTCTGGAGTTCATCATGTCCCTGTATTCCTGAAGTTCCAAAATAGACGTCCAGAAATAACGTTTATTTAGTTTGTCAGTGCTGATATTATCTCCTTTTGTATGACCTATCTTTCTATATTTGTGATCTCCTTGACATCACTCCTCGCTCTGTGTCTATCTACAGATGTACTACATGACGGAGACGAGCCGCCTGCGCCACGTGCCCGGAAAGGTCATCTTCCAGGAGAAGTGGCTCATTGACATCATCAACGTCAAACTCAAGTTTTGGAGGGAAATCAAGTTCTAGGCGAGGCCAGGATGTCGGGGGTGACATCAATAAATTATAGCGTGCGAAATGACTTCGAAGAAGAAGCTCTAATGGCGATCAGAAAATGAAGCTTTGCGCGTTAACCTGGGAGATCGATCGCTTATCCACTTTCCAGACATTCATCCTTTTCCTGGATCTTTTGGTATGAGGTCAACGAATTCAGTTTCGGTGTCAAGGAAATAGACTGTGCTTTTGTGCGTCGTACGTGAGAACGAATAAATTATTTTTGTATCTCACTGCTACTTGATGTTCAGTTCGTCTCTATGTCGAGGAACACTTTTTCATCATACGAACCATTCGTGAAAGTTAGCTGATAAATGGATACCAGTGGGATTAGCTCACTTACACACATCATACTTTTGTGCGTCGGGAGGAGCATGATCTTGAAGAAGCGGATGTAATTTCTCCAGCACTTCACCAGGTCTAACTGAACACCATCAGCTTTTATCAGATGACCTAAACAAAATAGGAAAGTGAGACAAAACTAACACTTTTGTTGGTGCGTGTCTCATGCTAATGCTTGAAGATGAACTAAGCTCTCATTTGGTTCCCGATGACCGCTGGTACAGTGTAGTTCCTCTCGTTCCCGCCAGGGTCGCTGGTGTCGGCGATGGTCAGCTGACCCCGGTCAGAGGTCGGGTCAGGGTGGATGATGCCGCTGGGCTGCCAGCTGCGCGTGGCGGGGGTGTACGCCGCCAGCCTGACCGCGCTCTGCTGTCTGCTGCTGCTGTATTGCGAGCTAGCCCACCACTATCTGGTACTGACACAGGTGAGTACTGGTACTGCGAGCTGGCCCACCACTATCTGGTACTGACACAGGTGAGTACCGGTACTGCGAGCTGGCCCACCACTATCTGGTACTGACACAGGTGAGTACTGGTACTGTGTGCTGGTTAAACTCCACCAGAAATTCTCTCTCCATACTCCACTCCTCACTCACTGATTCACTGGAGCTCTAATGTTCCCTACAATATGCATATTGCATACCCTGGTGGTTCTTTCAACCCCTCCCCTCTCCCCGCAGTGCCGGTGGCCGGACCTTCTACCCGGAGCCGAGCCCGGCCTGCGTGTGATGATCGTTTCAGACTCTGACTCAAACTCTCTCCCCTCTCCCCGCAGTGCCGGTGGCCGGGCCCCCTACCCGGAGCCGACTCTGACTCTGACTCCGACTCTCCCCTCCCGCAGTGCCGATGGCCGGACCCTCTCCCCGGAGCCGACCCGGGTCTGCGTGTGATGGTAGTCTCGGACCCGCACCTGCTCGGCTCCCGCCACGGTCACTGGTTTGACCGGCTGCGCCGAGAGTGGCAGATGCACCGCTCCTACGTGTCGGCCGTGGGACTGCTCCGGCCGCAACTGGTGCTCTTTCTAGGTGAGAGGGAGAGGAAAGGTATAGAAACGGGTGATGGAGGAAAGATGAGGAATATTTCAGTTAGCTTTTCTTTGAAATGGTGGTGGCTGATATTGAAAGATCGTGACATGCCCTTGCTTTTATTAACTCTTCTGTCATGATAATGTGACATATGTCCAACATATGTCTCGGCCCTTCTGCACCCAGTGTATCATCATTTAGATCTTACCTGGCTTCCAGGTCGAATCTGACTCCCCTGACCTCCCTGTAACCATTGCGACCCCGCTATGACCTGTGTGATGTATATCTGACCCTGCCGTGACCCCCAGGTGACCTCTACGACGAGGGTAAGTGGAGCGAGCCGGCCGAGTTTCAAGAGACGGCCGCCCGCTTCGAGCGCCTGTTCCCCGTCTCTGAGGATATGCAGAGGCTGGTGGTGGCCGGGAACCACGACATCGGATTCCACTACAGGTGCGGCATCGTCAGAGAGTCTGGATCTGTAGAATGGGAGGGGTTTGGGCAAAGGCTGGCTAAAGTCTGCTAAGCAGCGTAATACGGGCGTGACCTAGGAAGTTGGAATTATCACATCGTTGGATAATATCTTGAAGGAAGGTGTTTAATGATACATGCTCGTGTCACAATAACCCGTATCTGCGCCGGTTTCTTCGAGTGGTGCAGCGTTGCATGAAGTGCTCGATATTCTGTTTATTTATATTCTCGTCTCTCCCAATACCGAGTCTCCCTGTGTCTCACCGAATCTCGCGGCTGTGTCTCATCATGTCTCGCTACGTCTCCCGTGTCTCACTCAACACTCTCACCGTTCTCCCACCAGCGCTCACCAGCACCTTTGGCGCCGTTTCGATGTCGTCCACAACACGTCTGGCGTACGGCTGGTCTCTGTATCGGAGCGCGTTCATCTGGTGCTGGTGAACAGCGTGGCCATGGAGAGGGACGGCTGTAGACTCTGCGCCGCCGCAGAGAAACAGCTGAGCGCCGTGGCAGGTCAGTCGGGGGTCAGAAAGGGTTAGCAGGGGTCAGAAAGGGTCAGCAGGGGTCAGAAGGGATCATCGAGGCCAGGAGGGTTAGACGGAGTGAGAAGGGTTAGCCTGGCTGTCGCTGTCACTACGATATAGGAATTCGAGTCAAACGGTAAAAAAGCTAACTACGAGTGTGATAAAACCTAGTGGTAAAGTAATGCTGATAACACCCAGCATTCGTAGAGAATGAGTAGACTTCGCACGTTCACGGTTTCGTCTGCGTTTCAGAGACGCTGCGTTGCTCCCGCAGTCCGAACAAGGCGTGTGACGGTGTACAGAGGGTCCCGTACAGTAGACCGATTCTGGTCCAGGTGAGAGCCTAGAGAAGGAAGATTCCCCAGATAACAGTTACTTTTGAGGCTGTGAACTTCCTGAAATTCACGTCATATAATGCATGGTGGACGCTATATGCACTACATAGTACGCTAAGTGCTACTTCCTGTTGACGATATTGGTGGCTGCGTGTTCCAACAAATCTTTGCTGCTTGCCACTCTAACACCCAAAATGGTTAAGTAGTTCATCTAAATGCCTGCTATGAAGCAGCTTGTCATGGTTTTCGCACATCTGTGACTGGTCTCCCTCCCTCCCTCTGTCCCCCAGCACTACCCGTTGTACCGCCGCTCGGACTCGCACTGCCGCGGCCCGGACTCCGCGCCCCGCTCAGAGCGCTCTGCACCGTTCCGGCCGGGCTGGGAGTGCCTCTCTCAGGAGGCCAGCGAGGTGCTCCTCTCCCGGCTCAGGCCGAGACTGGTGCTGTCCGGGCACACGCACCATTTCTGTCGGACCGAACACAGGCTGGGACCCGCGCCCGCTGACGGCGCTGGTGGTGCCTCAGCGGCCGTCAGTGAAGGACAAGAGACGGTGACAGAGTACTCGGTGCCGTCATTCAGTTGGCGGAACAGAAATAATCCGTCCTTTCTCATGGTGAGCTGATCTTTGATATTTATTTATCACTCTAGTTATTGTTTTGTCTAGCTGATATTGATATTGTGTCGTATCCTTTTGACCCAGCTGTTAATTCAAATCATCTGAGTGTTGAGCTAGTAGCTACCGTTCTGTGTCATATGATTCGATGTAATAACCAGTAAAACGCCTTTTGGGCGACCAACGGAGCGAGCGAGAGGATGGGCCTTGCACGTGCGAAATTGCGAGGGGGTACCTCCAACTAACTTGTGCACTGCACCCTACTAACCGGTCTTTAGCGATGTGCCAAATTTCAGCGCAATCGGCCTAGCCGTTCTCGAGATCTGGAAGCGGCACACTGCACGTGCGCACGTGCAAGCGGGGTCCAAACTGACTTTTGCACGGCACCCTACTAACTGGTCCCCAACCGTGTACCAAATTTGAGCGCTATCGGCCCAGCCGTTCTCGAGATCTGGGAGCGCCCCCTGCACGTGCGCACGTGCTGTAGCACCCCAACCTTAACACATGCAGATGAATTATCTGATGGAGACCTAACTGTGTACCGAGTTTCAATTCAATCGGCCCAACCGTTGTGCCGTTATTGAGGTTGCAATTTTGGGGGTTCTTAAAAAATGTCCAACTTTACCACGCGCCACGTGCGGTGGTTGGCAAGAACGCATGGTGGCCATCACACCACAGAACTTTTACGTCCAAGTGACATTCAGTAAAGAAGACCGCTTGTCAATCGGATGTCCCGTTCCTAAGATATTAGCTTTTGAAGAGCGTCCCCACGGCCGGCCGGCCGCTCATACTCAGGATTTTCCCTTAATTACGGAGCGAGCGAAGCGAGCGTAGTCTTTCCTTAGATTAACGGAAATTTCTGAGTATGAGCGGCCGGCCGGCCGGCCGGCCGTGGTCACGCTTTTGCGAGGCTTATATCTCAGCAACCACTTGACCGATTTACACGCGGTAATTTTTGTAGGGTAGCTTAATTCCTTCTACCAAGTATTGGACTATTCCCGATGCATGTGGGTGACCCCTTATGCACGTGCCACGTGCAAAACGAAGAGGTGTCAGTTTTGTAATTGTTGCAATATCTCGGTAACTACTTGGCCGATTGCGCTGAAAGTTGGCATGTAGGTAGGCACCCACTAGGCACTGCATATACATGTGCCAGAGTTGGGGTGCTGCTGCACGTGCGCACGTGCAAGGGTCGTTTCCAGATCTCGGGAACGGCTGGACCGATTGCGCTCAAATTTGGTACACGGTTAGGGACCGGTTAGTAGGGTGCCGTGCACAAGTCAGTTGGGACCCATTTTGCACGTGCGCACGTGCAGGGTGCCGCTTCCAGATCTCGAGAACGGCTGGGCCGATTGTGCCCAAATTTGGCACATCGCTAGAGACCGGTTAGTAGGGTGCCGTGCACAAGTCAGTTGGAGGTACCCCCTCTCAATTTCGCACGTGCAAGGCCCACCCTCTCGCTCGCTCCGTTAGTCGCCCCAAAAGGCGTTATACTGGTTCAGTATGAGACTCCGCTCGCTTCGCTCGCTCCGTAATGAATGTCTTATGAGTTGATTTTTTCGTTTCGTTTTCCCTTGTAGCCTGTTCCTTTTTCGTTCGATATTTCGCAACTTTGATATTAAATGCAGTGGAGAAAACCTTTTCAATGAATGGAAAGTGTCCCGTGCCGTTTCTGTTTCTCATTCTTTCCTCTCTGCCGTCAGGTGCGCCTCTCCGCTGACCGTCACTCTGTCCAGAAGTGCTGGATGGCCGAGGAGCGGACCGTGATAGCGCTCTACCTGGTCGGCGTGCCGGCGGCGCTCGTACTCAGCTTTATCGTCACCGCGCGAAGAAAGGTGATCAGACGGTGGAACGGCGCAGAGACGAGGGGGGATCACCTCGCCAGGGAGGGGAAACAGGAGTGAGGGGCGGGGAAGGGAGACTAGGGGGGATCACCTCGCCAGGGAGGGGAAACAGGAATGAGAGGCGGGGTGGGAGACTGGATTATTCAGTGTGAGGAAGGAATCGTGAAATGATGATGAGATGACAAACGGATAAGATTAACTCATCGCTCTTCCCGCAGCGTGATAGGCGTCGATAGATTGTTCCATAACTGAAGGGAACCAGAGACGGTGGTGCTGTCTCCGTTGGACTCCATATCTCGGCTCGTTGCTCGGGACTAGTCTTATAATGGCCACAATGATTTGCTGCCCCAGAGTAAAGCCCAATGATCAATCATGTGCCTATAGTGGTGTAATTCTCCTGTGGGACACCGAGCCTGGCTCTTACAGTATGACTGATTCACCTTGGAGCTATCACTGGGTTGAAGCTGATATTTTAGTCCAGTGCCTGTGGTCGCCTCCGATTCCGCCTGAGATTCCGTCCTATCATGTGTCATGTAGTTAGGTGATCTACCAACCGTTTGCTGCTTCCTATTGCCTGTCCCGTTCCCTGTGTTAAAGCCCCCTTCTCCAGTTTTATTCTCCCGTCTCGTTTTCTATTCGCATCACTATGTAGTGCTTCGTATTCCCCTCCATTGTTTCCCATTCCCCAGTGTTTATTCCCCTTCTGCAGCTCCCATTTCCCGTCCCTCCCATCCCTCTCCTATCATCCGTTGTCTCCTCTTCCGCAGTGTGTGCGGCACCTCAGAGAGGGCCCCTCCTGGATCTCCTGGCCTCTGTGTCTCCGCCGTCATCCTGTCCACAAGCACGGGACGTGGTGCTGAGACGCTCCTCCGCACGGGAGACACCGCAGTCACTGCAGGTACCGTCCGGGACTGACGGGACATTTAGGGACATTGGGAGGGATATCTGGGGGAAGGGCAAGGGTATTTGAATCCGGAAGGAGATAAATGTGATGAATCTTTTGGGTAATCGTATTCACCGTGGCATTAATATCGAAATGGTAACAAATGTTCTTCCAGTCCAGCAGACTAATGCCTATCTCAATGACAGTGAAGTGTGTGATATCTGATTAGAAGCGAATGGAAGTGTTAACTTGTGAGTACATTGTAGAATTTTTATGGCAAATGCCGTATTCTCATGGTCAGTTAGTCTTTTTGACATGGGATTGATTATGTGATTAGTGGTCATGTACATTTGTGTTGTGTGTCTGTCAATTTACGTCAACTCGGCTCATTTTTCACGTCCATCTTCCACTTTGAGTAGATCGAATTGATTTTGTTCGTTTGATATACTCGGATTCATCTGTTTTAGGGATTTCTGACAGTTTTTCGTCTATGAGGTTCTGACTGACGGCCTGTTTTGTGAGCTTTCGTCGAAGGTGATTCGGCGCCCTGGTTGTGACTTGTGTGACCGTAATCAAAATGGTGCGTGTGGTGTGATCTAGTTCCATCGTCATATGCAATATACTAGTAAGAATGTTTTATAACGCAATGACATCTTGGGTGCTTTTCGTGGTTGAGTCCTTATTGCATTTACATATGTTCAGCTCTGGTCAATTATAAGTTTATCGGAGCTCCTTAACCCGGCTTCCCCTCACACTTATTATTTTGAATGCACATTGCTAACACACCTCGACACATACATCGAACAGCACCTCGCCTTGCATTGTAACTTCTGTATTACTTCACCATCTCACGAATAAATATGGCGAGCACTCCTTGCGCCCTCATTTAGCTCCTCAGTATTATTTTATTTTTAGCTGCCGCTGACAAACTTTTCGTCCGTTTGTTTAATTGCCCAGTCTGGACCAGGACTTGTCTGGACCACACGAGCAGCCACGTGCTGATCTGGGCAGCGGCACTCCCCGTCGTATACGCCAAGTTTATCGTCTCTACGGCCTGCCTTCCCACTATACGCTCCCAGGAAATGTTGGTCTGGACAGTGGACACTAACATTCTGACTCGCAGAGCCGTGTTACGACGAACACAGCATGCCTGGTCTGTTTCAGAGGGACACTTCGTGTCAGCGGTGGGTCCTTCTGTGTCTATGTTTGTGTGTTATGTATGAATATAGTGGTCGGCGTGGTGTCTGGAAACAAAAGCTATTAATAGATACGTTTTTCCGAATTGAGATAATCGGTCCATACGAATTTTTCAAGTCATTGTGACAATGCTCTGGGAAGAAGACCCATTCTAGAGGCAGATGAGCCTGAACCTGATCCGTAGTTTGGTCTCATGACTCCGTAGCGGTCTCTTGGACTTCCGCTGTCAATGGGGTCGTTCACATGAGTGTCACGTGAGGGATTATATGGCTGGCCTCTATGGCTCGACCTTTTAAAGTCAACCATACGTTCGGAGAAGGGAGAGTTACCCTCCCCGTCCCTGCTCTCGCACTTACGCAGCATCACCCTTTCTGCACCCCAGCGCGACACTCGCACGCAAGTACGGAGAACTGGCGGTGGCCGGTCCGGTCACGGGGGTCGCCTGTGTTTACTCTCGGACGGTCGGCCGCTGTCTCCGGGACTATATCGTTCCGCCTCCCATTCACCACGTGGTCCTGTCCGTGCCCCTGCCGGGCCCGGCGTAGGGTGGTGTGAGTGTCCACGTGACGCGGTGGTGGGGCGGCGTCTGCCGGTGTCAGCCGGCTCCAGTGCCACACGGATCGGGCAGCGGCACACAGAGGTCAGCTCTCGGTGATAGAGGGCACACGGAGGCTAGTGTGAGCTGTGAGACTTCTGAGAGTTGAGAACTGTGAACTGTGAGCAGCGCCCGTGGATCGGAAGTGGCGCTGAGGAAACAAGGAGTCGTGAGTGACCTGTGATAAAGACGCGAATCCGAGTGACACGTTGGGAACTTACTGGAACGATGGAGCGCTGCAGTGCTGATCAGTGTCCGGAGTTTGATGGAGATTCGGGGAGCTTAACACCCCACCCTGAGCTGAATCCGGAACCTCCGGGGAGCCGTCAGGAGCCGGGGCCGGAGCAGGAGCAGGAGTTGCGCGAGGCGTGTGGCGTGTTCGGCGTGGTGGCCGCCAAGCCGTGGCCGACTCAGCTCTCGGTCGCCCACACCATCTACATGGGTCTGCTGGCGATACAGCACCGCGGTCAGGAGAGCGCCGGCATCGTCACCAGCGACGGCAGCGACGCCGAGTTCTGCCAGCAGCGCGGCGTCGGCCTGGTGTCGAGCGTGTTCAGCGGCGAGCAGCTGGCGCGCCTGCCGGGTAGTCTCGGCCTCGGCCACACGCGCTACTCGACTGTCGGCGCGTCCGACTCCCGGCACTGCCAGCCGTTCATTGTGCACTCGAAGCACGGTCTGGTGGCGCTGGCGCATAACGGAGAGCTGATTAACGCAGCCCGGCTGAGGAGGGAGGTGCTGGACCGCGGCGTGGGGCTGTCCACCACCTCCGACTCTGAGCTCATAATGCAGCTGCTCTCACTGGCGCCGCCCTGTGGCGAGCCCAACGGAGCCGACTGGCCGGCCCGGATCCGACACCTCATCAGGGCCACACCCACGTCATACTCCATCGCTGTGCTCTACAAGGACCGACTGTTCGCCGCCCGGGATCCGTACGGGAACCGCCCGCTCTGCCTGGGGGAGCTCCGAGAGGTGTCGGCCGGTATCGGCGGCGCGCAGAACGGCGTCCATTCGTCCCCGCTCGGCTATGTCGTGTCGTCCGAGTCGTGCGCGTTCCAGTCGGTCGGAGCGGCGTTCCTCCGTGATGTCGAGCCGGGGGAGATCGTCGAGGTGACCTCGTCTGGCGTGCGCAGTATTGATGTGGTCCCGAGACGCGGCGACGACCCGCCCGCCTTCTGCATCTTCGAGTACGTCTACTTCTCTCGCCCGGACAGCTGGATCGAAGGTCAAATGGTGTACTCCGTTCGCGAGCGATGCGGCGCACAGCTGGCTCGCGAGAAGCCAGTACCAGCCGACATCGTCTCGACTGTTCCCGAGTCCGCCACACCGGCTGCGCTCGGGTTCGCGCGTCAGTCGGGTATCCCGTACGTCGAGGTGTTCTGCAAGAACCGCTACGTGGGCCGCACGTTCATCCAGCCGGACCAGCGAGCGCGTGCGCTCGGCGTCAGTAAGAAGTTCGGCGTGCTGCGCGGTAATGTCGAGGGTCGACGCGTCGTGATCGTTGACGATTCGATTGTCCGAGGAACGACCGTCGGGCCGATTGTGAAACTCCTAAAAGAGAACGGGGCCGCTGAGGTGCACATCCGTGTCGCCTCGCCTCCCATCAGCCACCCCTGCTACATGGGGATCAACATCCCGACCCGGAAGGAGCTGTTCGCCAACCGGGTACCCTCTGAGCAGCGAGCGGCCGCCGTGGGGGCGGATAGTCTCGAGCACCTCTCCGTGGAGGGTCTGAAAGCAGCGGTGCGGCAGGGCCTGAAGAGACCGGAGCGGTCGGGTCAGTGTGTGGCCTGTCTGACTGGGGAGTACCCCGTGGAGCTGGACTGGTGACCTGGCGGTGACCTGATGAGTCAGTCACCTTGTGACCTGGGGTCTGGTGACCTGGGGGTGACCTGATGGGGACCTGATGAGCCATCGTCTGGTGACCTGGGGTCTAGTGAGCTGGTGATTGAGATTGGCCCAGGGAAAGTTTTTGATATAGGTCTACACAGGGCGGAAGAAATAAAGCTGCACTCGCTGGCGTTTCGGCGATGCACATCAACTTATTTTCTATGTCTATCGCTGCCTTTCCCTATAGTACACCACTCACCAGACTCTGTATTGAAGGGCTGTATTCATGTGCCGTTTTTTAAAAAGACATTTTTATGCGCCCGCTCGTCAAGGATCGTAGAGCAAATCAATTTCGTTTTGTTCTGTAAGCTGCCGATCGAATATATGCATTGTATGATATCATAATTTATCAGTGAAGCCGATATAATGTAACAGACAATGGGACATTAAACGAGAACTCATTCGAGCTTGATACCATACCTTATTCCAAAGTAGGCATATCGTAGACGTAATATTGTACGACTTACCGTGAATTCTATTTAGTTTTCCTCCACTTGGACACTGAATGGACATTGGACGCTGGACACATGTGTATCCTTGTCAGTGGCTGCTCCTTTCCGGACTGCTAGTGACATCTACAGATGGCGCGGCAGTGAGCTACACCTCGCTATGGAGCAGCGAGCTGCAGGGTGCAGAGAGCACGCTCTAGTGGTGCGGGGAGTTCAATGGTGCAGGGATAGTCCAGATGACAACTGCCCTTTCAGACCTTTGCCGGTTCTGACGTGATTGCAAAGCTGAATATTTGAACGCTATTTCTGATCCTCTTTTTGTCGGCAAGACTTCTTCATACTGCACAGTCCAGATCCAGGTCCAAGCAGAGATACCGATCCAGGCTACACCTGGAAGCCTATTTATGCACACGTTTGCTATTCAGTAGGTACATGGTGCATCAACACGCCCGTGTGGCTGAGCTCCTCGGGATTCCCTCTTCCGCTCCCTGCGTTATCGGTTTTCTCATGCCATTGAGTTGGGCATACGTTACGTCTTCTGGCCTTTGCTCGGCTCATGAGCCTACTCAGTGCTGGGTCCGTTTCTATGGAAGCAGTAAGTTTTCCGTGACCGGTACTAGGTGAAAGGGATGCATAACTTGGTGTGTAATAAAGGCACTCATTACGAGTAGGCACTTTGGAGTCATGATAGGCATTCAGATCGGCCTTGCACTGATATAGGTATTTGACTACTAAAATGATAGCAAGCGTCACAACTCACAAATGCCTAAAAATACAAATACCTTCAAATCGGGCACCTTTATAGGTTCAACTTCAAAACATGTCATTGACAAAGCTCAAGCTTTCAGAGCTGTGCGGCATTTTACGGTCTTTTAGCTTGCGTAGTGCTGTGTCCACATGTCAGGATCACTTAAGTATATCATCAAAAGCCAACTCACGAGCCCCATGCCTCCTTTGACCAAATCCCACACTTCGTATTCCGTATCCTCATCCTTTAACCCACCATCTTAACGCCTACCTTCCACCACCATCCCACTGCCCCCCCCCCCGCCGTCGTCCGGTGGGCGTTCCGACCCCCCCCCCCCTCCGTCGTCACTCGGTGTGCCGTCCGACCCCCCCCCCCCCCCCGTTCGGTGGGCGGTCCGACCAGCGTCGATACCGACGAGGGAGAGGCGCGTCTCCGACGACCATCGATCGACGACCGCCGCCGCGCCGCCGTCCATTAGATGTGCGCGCTTGTTATTTGTCCTCAGTTATGCATTATCTAGTTGGTAATGCGAGCTGTAATCGATGGCTGGCCGGCCGCGGTGGCAGGGGGGGGGGGGGGCTAAAAGGTCGGCGGCGGCACCACGAGCAGGAATCGCAGTAGCGGAAGAGCGCAAGAGGAGAGGGGAGAAGGTTTGAGGCTGGTGGAGTCAGTCTTGAGACTGGTTGGCCAATCTTATGGTGTTGAGCGAGAAATGAAGGTCAGATTACAAATTGCTAAGCTGACTGTTTGATCTTTGATGTCTTGAAATACCTACGCCGGTTTCGTTCCTCTTACGCCGCGAACTGCCTTACGTCCGTGCAAACGAGGGTCACAAGCTTTTTGCTATTCATCTTTACCTTCATTATTCATCATTTCATTTTCTTTAGAGTGAAATAATTCTTATTTGTTAGCATAAGTCGGGTGAAGAAGAACGATCGACAAAACACCGATGCTGAAAACATTTGCTTCAATATCCCTCTCAAAGATTGTTTCATTATTATTTTCATGCAATTTACTGAAACTATAAAAAAACAGCACACTTCCAAAGCACACTAATAAGAATAACTCCGGCTGACAAGTAGGTAATCGGGAATGCTAAGGTGAATGCAGCATAATCAATAATCGTTTTGCTTTATTTTGGCGCACAGCCGGCCTAGCCCATGGTTGCGGCAGCTGTCACTGGGTCAGCGAACGGTCACGACCGTCTTCTTTTTTTCTCTAACACTGTTCCGACTTCACCAACCCACCTAATAGAACTTGACACTTAGTTGTTGTTTTTCCAAAATTAAAACCTCTGTGTCTCTCAGAAAATTGAAAATTGACGCTACCCAATCTCATATGAACTCTGGTGTCCTTTAGGCTCCGCTTTCAGAGACGTGCAGCAGCATCCATCAACCGAACCGGTTACCGGTAGACAAAACCAGCCCACCCTTGGTGTCGTCAACCGCGGCGGAATAGAGAATCCCCAATGCCATCCTCTGCCGCGCTGGACACGGGAGAAAGACCCTCCGCTATCCACTCTTCCTTGCTTCACTCTTCCTTGTTTCCCAGATACCCATTTGTGTGATATGATGGAGCGATGGGACAGCGTCCACCTCCCCAGCTGAAAGAGCGCCCGCACTGTTCCTCCTGGCCCGGCGCGGCCCTACACCAGGTAAGCCGGTCCATTAGGGGCACGCGCCCGCCGGCCGCCGGGCCCAGGTGGCACAATAGCCCGGCCGGCGGGGGCGGACCGACCGACCGACCATTACCTGGGGCACGTGTCCAGCCACGGGACACGTGCCGCGGCCGGCACGCGCTGATTATCAGCGGACCGCCACGTGCGGTGGTGGCTCGTGCTGAGCTCGAGAAGCGAGCTCGAGCCCATCAGGATGCGCTGTGTCGTCGGACTGTGCGACTGCCTTGCCGCCGCGTCCGTCCCGCGGCCATCAGACCTGGCGGCCGCCGCAGCGGCGTCCAGTAATTGCTTCTCTGGGTGCGTTTTTTCAGGAATTCATAAATCAGTGACGCATTCTCGTGTTACCGACGTTAGTGGTCGGTGCGTCAGTGTATAATAGCTGCTGAGTCTGGGTTCTGTGGTATCTGCACAGCATAGGAGAAAAAAAGCTGCCTTCGCCATAGTATGCCAAAGAAACAATTATGCATCTCTAAGAACAAGCCCCGCTCGCGGATTCCTGTGATGTCGCTCCTATTCGTAACAGACAACGCAGTACGTTCCAGTTCTTGAAAACAGCTAATAGATATCCAACCACCAGCCGCTGCATCCTCCCATAGTTACTTTACAGACTTCGGTCGGCACTGGCCAGCAATCCCCCATCGCCGCCGTCCCAATCCCCAGCCCTACAAAGCCTGCGCTCGTCCTCAGACAAAGCCCCGGCCAGCCGGTCCAGCCCACTTTAATTCGGCGCGCTGTCGGTCGACGAGCTTTGATTGCTGCTGAAAGCTTGAAAGGTTTCTGGCGCGGCGCTCAGCGGTGCGTGCGATATGAACCACGGCGTGGCGGCGCGGCGGCCTCGAGGGACCCTCGCGTCGGTTCCCGCCGGTCCAGACGGCAGCGGACCGGCCCGCAGCGCCTCTCGATTGTGTTTTATTGGCACTTGTGTGCGGCGGATTAATTGAGGAGATAAGCGGGCTCTGAGTGCCGCAGGGTCTCCGGGCTGCCCCCTAGGTGGGGTGATGGGGGCGATAACAAACCCGACTGGTGTCACGGGGCTGGGGTGCTCGCTCACTGCTCTCAGCTCGGCTGTGTCGAGTTGCAGCGACAACAAACTGACACGGGGACAATGATAATGTTTACCTGTAAGTGGAAGTGAGGGGCTTGTTCCTGGTTGTTTGAAGGTGATCGCACTGTATCTGTGGCACGAAAATGATGTCCTGCTCATTTTCTGCGCTGCGCTTTGTCATTGGAATAGGTTGTACAGTATGTCTAAAAAGTATGTCCCCTAGTTTTTTTCTCCCATGGTAGGCGAATCGGTAACTTGGCTGAATCCTAGTTGCGGCACCCGGCCGCCAGGGGCGCTGCCACGCGAGTGGCCTTGACCGCTCGCATGTCATTGGCAGTTCGGACCATCCCCACCCCGGTAGAGGTGGGGAGGAGAGCAGAGGGGAAGAGAGGGGAGGGAGGGGCACCCGCTCGGCACTGGGTGATACCTGGCTGACCCCGCGCTCCCTCGCTGACCTCCGTCCTGCCTTCAAGCGAGGACCGACTTCCTCGGCCCACAGCGGCCGAGCGGTAGAACCGAGCGTGTGGGCTTGACTCCATGGCGGCTGTGAAGCACAGCTACGATAACTCGGCTAGTGCATGAGGAATAATGCTTGTTCCAGAAATTTCTAACGCAATACCCGTTACAGTAAGCGTGGATACGTGAAAGGAAAAGGGCCACCTTTAACCCTCGCCCGTATTCGTGTTTTGCCAGCGTCTAACGTATAGGAGGGGGTCCCTTGGACCCCCTTGCCGTTTGGCACCTGTTATTTTTTCATAGCTAGAGCTTCGCGAAAACGAGCGTGTTGCCCGTGACGAGAGGAAGCCAATAATACCCAATTTTAAGGTCCCAGGTCATTGGTTGTCGTGGAAGGGTTCCGAGAACTACGCCCAGTCACGGTCATTGCCCAGTGGATTGTCGCCCCCCCCCCTTAAGATCTCAGCTCCTATAAAAGCCAAAACGACAAACTTTGAAGGATGGGTGGGACACTCTATTGTGTGTTACTTTCATGACAATAGGTAAATATCTTCAAGGTCAAATGAGGTTAAACGGGTCCAAGTCTGTCAGATGAGGGTCTATTTAGTGTCTACTACACGCCCATACCTCTAAAAGTTACCGGCCGATTTTATTATTTCTTTCGCCTTATGACGACACATACACTTTTTTAAAGTATATATTGAGAATCTCTAATTAATCCAGCCATAATAATGGCAATTAGAGCTCTGTTAGGAGAAAGATGTCTTCCGGTTGAGACGGGGAAGAGCCGACGCGGAAAGAGTGTTACAAATTTGTGTTAACACACTCGTAACTCGAAATGTTACCGCTAGTTTTCTTTTTTTCACCGTAAGATTGTATTTACATTTCCAAGTCTTCACAGAGACTTTGACGCAAATCGATCATTAGCAGCGGTAAGCAGCGCAATGCAAAGGCGGAACTGGC